CAATTGATTTTTTTACGCTATATTCTGGCCTGGCTTTTGTTACGCAGTATCCGTTTTATTGAAAAATGTGGCGAGTTTTATTTACTATTTCTTTCTGACTGGTTCGAAGGAAGCGCGTGCTCATTTTTAATCAAATGTTACACCGTAACCTGGAAAAAGAAATATTTACTTACTTTTAAAACTTCTCTAGAGAAATATAGTTTGTGTGTGTTTATTTGGCTGCAAATCACAGTTGTCAATTATTTCAAAAGATATTATTCATGTTAATATTTCCTTTAAAAATTTTGGTTGTACTCGAATTTAGACTAGGAGACATCTTTTTTATGGTATAGGAGGGCGAGCAAGCAGATGGGTTACCTGATGACTAGTAACTACCTACAACTCAAGAATTGCAAGTGTGTGGGGGTAGCCACTCTGAGGCCTCTCTCGAGAACCAAGGGGAGAAGGGGTTTTGGTTCCGGTAACCTCGGTGAAAAGCAGGAAGCGAAATAATTGCTTAACGGTCTCCGCAGGAGTGACTTTTGTTGTGACATTATTTTCCAAAATCTTTTCATTTCAAAAAAAAAAAAACAACGAATATAATCCTGTGTCGCGGGGGATTTTACCAACATACATGAAACAGACACAAAGTAAACCACCATTCGACAACAATTTGTGAATCTCACAAAGTGATGTCCCATTTGGGGATCGAACCTACAACACAAATGACTAAAGATTTTAGTTAATAAGAATAATACCTTCTAAACCAAATCCTGCGAACAATATGCTAAGGGTGGAGCGCAGGGTTAAAATGGGGTCAAGGACAAGACCCACTTTGCGGAACTTGTTAAACAATTTTTGTCGGATAAACATCATTTATAATACATCTCTATTAAGTTACAAAGAGGGTACTCGTTTTTGGGAGCCATTTTATATCCCATAATTAACTTTTACATGCGCCAACATCGTAAATTGTAAATGATCTGAATTTTTCAGTGGTAAATTAAATGCATAAAGCCCATAATTTTATATTATATATCTCCATAAAAAAAGTTGCTTTATAAGCCAATTTTAAAGTAAAAGTTTTCAGTTTTTAAAGTAAATAAATTATCGTATTAAACATCACAAAAAATTTCAATATTATTACACCATTCCCTGACTAGAACAAACAACCCAAAATATAACAACAGTACCACATATATTTTGGACTTGTTTTGTTTTTGTTATGCATTGATTGCACGAATGGCGTAGTGGTTTCAGCGGTTGACACGCCGCTTACTACTGCGCTGAGTGTTGTGGGTTAGATCCCGACAACATTTTGTGTGATCCACATATTGTTGTTCTGAGTCTGACTGTTCTTTGTGTCCGTTATATGTATGTTTGTAAAGTTACCTGCGACACAGGTAACCTAACATAGGAGTTGTATTTGAAAAAAAAAAATAGATTAAAAAAGAATAAGCGGCTCCAAAAAAATGAAGGAACTCTTTAATTCGGTTGGGTTTGTTATATTTGTTTGTTGTTGTTGTCCGTCGTTTATGATCTAATTTAGAAAAACAATCCGCTTGGCCGCTTAAAATAAAAATAAAACACTATTTCTGATAGTGGAGTTTATTACAATTCTGCATCATAATCTAGGACCATTGAATCATTACCATCAAGAGCCTTAAATTAAAAACCCTTAGCATATTGTTCTCATGATTTGGTTTAGAATGGAGGTATTATTCTTACTAACTACTATAACGTTTTTTTAAAGTTGAACCGACTTCAAACAATACTAACAAAGAGCACTAAAAACTTAGAAGCAATCGCAGTTCATTTGCTGTCATTTTTTGAAGAGTTCCGTTGTCTGTCTCCGAAACTCATCATCAGATCTATATGAAATTTAAATGGCACCATTTCGGAACAAACAAGAACTTTGCAAAGCCGTCATTATGTGACGGAGTCATGCCTGAACATACATAAAAAATATATTTAATCATCCGAATTGATCACCTCCTCCTCTTGAAGTTGGTTAAAAAGATAATTACTTAATAAGAATTTTACTATTTATTACCTTACGGAGTATTGGAATATAATCTTGAAACAGTTTAACACAAGTTCCAACTTTACACAAATAGTTTCGGTACTAATCAATTGAAGTTCGCGGTCGACCATTGCGCGTGCCTTTAGTGGTCAGGTTGGATAACCTCAGTTTAGATATTAGATCCCTTTCCTATTTCTGTTAGTATGTTAACTGGTAATTTAGGTCATTTAATATTGAAGACGTGCTTACAAATTACTTTTCAGAACAAGTAATGTTACTGATTTATGGCTTAGTATAATAAATTTATTACAGATGTAATAGGAGCATTTTTTTTTTGACTGACATTGTAGTTCCTTTGTCTTAAAATAAAAATCGATTGATAATTTTCCGTGATGCTCATTTTTGCATTATATGAACTAATTAATTCGTGTTTTTTTTTTTTTTGTTTTGGAGGAGTACGTGTAGGAGTACAAGTACCTGGGTTTAATTATAGATAGGTAAGAGTTTCTCGTGGAAAATACATATAACACAACTATGGGACAAATCATGTTCCGTTCTTGTAGAATTTCACCACCTCAGTGCCGTACTGGACAGGGCCTCCTTAGGTCTTTACCTATGAAATTGCCGTTTTGTATGCAATAAGTGAAAGTACTTATTTTTTCAAAGTTTTTTATTTCTGTTATTCGAAGTAATCACCCATGCAATCGACGCATCTTTGCCAAGGCATTGGCAGTTTATTGATGCCCTTCTTGTAAAAATCAGCTGGACGGGAGGCAACAAACTCTTCAAAGGCATTTTGTACTGCCTCTCGGGAATTGAATTTTTGACCCACTAAAAAGTTGTCTAGATTTTGGAAAAAGTAATAGTCGGTAGGTGCAAGGTCTGGTGAGTACCAAGCAACTAGTTTTGGTCAATCGGTCGTCCCCACTGCTCCTTCACGACAACGCGCGACCCCATACTGCGCAACAGACAGTCTCCAAGCTGCAAGAGCTGGGGTTGGAAGCTCTCCCTCATCCGCCATACTTTAACTTTTGATTAATAGTTTTGTGTTGCTACCGCACTCGCACTTATCACGGAACTCTTTGTTCTGTGTTGAAAACTCTTTCTAACATGTTGTAATAGATAAATAAATTAATACGAGTATGTATTTCAATGTACTGAATTAAAATGTGTCCCTGTTCGTTGTCATATACCTAGTGAAGGAGTTGTCTTTAAAAGAAAGCTACCGTGGGACTTTGACTTGATAAGTTATTATAAGCGTAATATTTAAAATGTTTCTTTTCTGGAATTAGTTGCTGATATTTCGGCACTGTTGCAAACGCCATAATGACGGCTGAACTTAACTGTTAAAAAAAATGGTAAATATCCTGATTATAATGACTTAGCAAGTAAATTTTCAGTTATGTTTTCACTATACTACTTTTTTGTTTATGTCTTTTACTCTTTATGATACTTAACCTGGAGGCCAGGTGATAGGCCTTTCCTTGTGGCTTCGTCAATGATAGAACTCTCTTCGAACTCGTGCAGATCAACTCTTGTTGTTTACTCATAGCCTTGTTTACACTATCTCCCTCGCCTCTCCAGGTAAAATATTATTGCAATGTTACATATTGTGCCAAATCAAAAATAAAATTGAAAAAATTGCAGGAAAGTAGTGATGTTGGTGATGATGAGGACGACATTGAAATGATCTGTTCTATTTTTTTTTAAAGACACCTTCCACATTAGGAATATATCCTGCGTCGAACTTATAAATATGCGTCGACTTTATAAATATGCGTGAAACGAACACAAAGAACACCTAGACTCAGAACAACAATTTGTGGATCACACAAGGTGTTGTCTCATGCGGGGATCGAACCCTCAATACTCAGCCCAGTAAGAAGCATCGAGGTAATCTCTTAAAACACTACGCCATCCGTGCAGTCGTTCTATTCGAATACCACTGTTTAATTTGCATTCCAAACGGATGTCCCTTTTTTCCTTTTTTTTTTTTTTTTAATGTCACAAATTTATACGAATTAGGTACATAAGTAAGTAAAAATTCTAATGCTAATCTGTATAGTGTTAAATTTTCAGAATTTAAGTTATCTTAATCTACTATATCTGAATGGATCTGAATATACTACGAGTATATCACATTGTGAGCCGGCAAACTACCTAACTACGGTCAAATACCAAGAAGATAATCAGTATCTAGGATCTTCATCGTTTTCGTTGTTGTTCTACTGACGATCACTACTTCTTTATAGAAACTTTCATTAGCTAAGATAATTTACAAGTGGGCTGTTGCTTTATCAAGTAGTACATCAGTAATTTAGTGCACTATAAATTAGACAATCTGAAATGAGATTACGATTAGGAAGGCATTGGAATTGTTTACCAAAGTAATATTTCTTAAAAAGGAATTAAGTGAGGTGATTTCTACACCGCTATCTATCTTACAACACATAAATATTTAAAAACATTAAAACACCGTTTTCGTAAGTTGCAGTTTAAAATAACTTATAGATAAACAAACTATTACTGATAACCAATTTTCACTAATAACTTAATCACTAATAGAATAATTACTATCATGTACAACTGCGAGTTACAAATAGTCGTAAACGCATGGCCTAAAGTATATTTGTTTCATTTGTTCCTATATGATAAAGTAGCTTGCTATCTCTGTCTTCTATATCAGTGTGTATATATTATCTATTCTTGAAACTCTCTTTAGCCGGTCTTTCTTGTTTATTTTTAATTCGGACGCACATAAGCAACGAGTCATCTGCAGTGAGTGCTCGTACTAAAAACACATACAAACTCTTTCACAATGAAGCTTACGGGTAGCCGTTTGCGCATGCGTGCGTAACTGTCAAAATTTTACGCCAAATCGTGAATTTGGGGAAACGTGTACAAATTTATCATTTTTATAAATTAAAATCAATATAGTATTATTTGTATACTTCTCAAAGGTGATCTTGACAAGGCTGATTTTAATATTAAAGTAGAAATGTCGAAAGATACAACTACAGTCAGTTTAGACGTGATTCTAAAAGAGTTGGGACCATTTGGAACGTATAATATCGTGAATTATGCTCTTTTATTAATACCATGCTATTTGGCGGGAATGTACGGATCAGTGTTCGTATTCGAAGCTTTGGATATAGATTACAGGTGAGTTTTTACTTGTAAATATTGCCAATTTGAGGTCATAAATAAAAGAAACAAGCTCTCGTATAAAAGTAAAATGATCGTTTATGTGATTTCGTTATCGTGTGTAATAAAATCAAATTGCTATAATTTGTATAAACTAAATCTGTTTCGCATTCGATTCTTTTTGGGGTTACATTTGTGTTGGTTTTGACAAACACGCCACCCGGCGCCCTCGTGCGATATTCCCACGCATGCGTGTAATGCAGTGCGAAAATTGGGGTCAGCCTCAGGTTGGTCTCAGGTTGGTAACCCTTGTCATTTAGGGGTAAGAAAAAAAGATGTTTGCCGAATCTCAGACCTACCCGATGTGATTACAAAATTTCATAAAAATCGGTCCAGCCGTTTCGGAGGAGTATGGTAACTAACATTGTGACACGAGAATTTTATATATAAGATATTGTTTTATTACTTCCAATATTATTAATCAGAGATAATTTTTGTAAAATATTTATTGTTTTGTTTTATGCACTTGTGAGTTACGTTACGATCCAGATCTAAGCGACTTATTTATGATTTATGTTTTAGTTCATTGTAATGTGTTTTGTGCATTTAATAAAGAAAATAGAAATAAAATAAAGCCGTAAAAAGGATATTACGTATTCTGAACTAATAGCATAAGGAATAATACCCAGAGAAATATGTCCCAGCCACTTATAATAATAATAATAATAATCTTTATTAGAACAAGAAACAGTAGGTTATAACATATAAGTAAGAAACAGTATTATATATTGGAATTACACTTTTAAATATGTCACAAATTTTATTTAAAATATATAAAATACTCCTACCCAACGGTAGTTAGGGGTTTAAACTATAATTTGTATCAGACCCTTGATTCAGGCCTGTAACGTAAATTGGGCAAGGCAATTGCCTATCAATCTATGAATAGATATGATGATCAGAACAATTATCATCCACAAATTGACAATTTCGTTTTCTTTATATGGCAAATAATAACAGATAATAATGAATATTTGGCGGGCCTGTTGGTCTAGTGGTTACCGACCCTGAATGCTAGGCCGGAGGTCGTGGGTTAGATTCCCACCCAGGACAAATATTGTGTGATGAACACGATTTTTTGTTCTGTGTCTGGGTTTAATTTATCTACAAATTTATATATGTTAATCACCAGTCTGGTTACTAAAGCACAGGCTTTGGTTAGTTTGGAATCAGACCGCCGTGTGTGAGATGTGTGAAGTTATTATTACTATTAAATACAATGGTGGGTCACTTGAATGTTACTACCACCAACCATGGACATCTGCAGCTCAAGAGATATGTGACCAAACCCTCCTCCAGAATTTACGGGAATGGGAGAATTTGTAATATGTTAAAAGTAACGAAGGTATAGCTTAACACCGATTTCCTACGAGGCTATGGAGTGACTCTGAATAAACCCATCCATAAATGCCGTCCGTGTGGTGACGGATTAAGAATACAGATTGTCACCACCCCTACTCATCCCGTGGGTGTTGTAAGAGTCAACTAAGGGAAAAAACTACGCAGAACAACAACACTGAGAGAAGGAAAACTTGACACAAACCCTTTTTTTTTTTTTTTTTTTTTTTTTTTTTTTTTTTTTTTTTTTTTTAACGTGTGGAAATCCCCTCGGACCGTCACCCCTCCGGGGTTTGCGGCGGGGTGGTGTGTCGGACTCGGACCGACTAAAACCACACGGTGTGCCACTCTGCGCCTGTAACAGGAGGGATCCGGGAACAGCTGTTGTTAAGACATCCGGACCCCTCCTAGCGCCAGCCCGCTCCTGGTGCGGGCTCCGTCTCAATGTAGATGTTCCTCTCTTTAGGCGACGTCCGGCACACGCGGACGCCGCCCCCTCGCGGCTGGCCAACTAATGCGGGTGGAGGGGAAACCCACCTCGTCCACCCGCGGCCACACTCAGGGCGGCATGAGGCTGTGGTAGGCGGGCCTCCGCCGCCCGGTTCGCCGGCGGCGGATCGGGTCCGAGTGGAGGTCGTCCTCCCGGGCCCTTTCCGCCGCCTCCTTCCGCGAGATTACTACCTCGCAGAAGGTTGCGACCGCGGTAAAACAACTGTCGCTACCGGCCATGGAGCGTACTACGGCCGGTAGCGAGAGATCCACTCCGATGACTGCAGTGAGGGCCCGGCGCTGCGCCGCCCATGCGGGGCAGACCGCCAGCGTGTGCTGGGCCGAGTCCTCACTGCAGTCGCAGTGGTGGCAGGCGGGACTCAGTTCCCTCCTAGCGACCGTGTGCAGGTACTTTCCGAAGCAACCGTGCCCGGAAAGCACCTGCGTCAGTCGGAAGGAAAGGGTCCCGTGCTGCCGCCCTGCCCACTCGGCGATGACCGGCTGGAGAGCCTCCACGGCGGCGAAGCCAGCGCGTGGAGTCTCCAGCCGGAACGACCAACGAGCCATCGTGGCTCGGCGAGCGGCTTCGCGCCACTCGCGCACATCCTCGGGCGGAGGGCGAAATCCGCTCTCCGCCCGGGAGTCAGCCACTCGCCGATAAACTTCGGCGAGCACTTCCGCCTCCAAATCCCACGGGGGAGTTCCGGCCAACGCGCATGCCACCTCCGTAGAAACGGTGCGGTAACCGCGTATGGCTCTGACCGCCATTACCCTCTGAGGGCGCCAGAGGCGTACCCTATTCTGGGCGGTCAGAGCCGCCGCCCACACCGGTGCACCGTACAGTGCCATTGACCGGACAACCCCCGTGTACAGCCGTCTTGTCGCGACGCTGGGTCCACCCATATTGGGCAGAAGTCGCCCTAGGGCGGACGCAGCGCCGACCAGCTTTGGAGCAAGCTGTCGGAAGTGCTCGTCGAAGAGCCACCTCCCGTCGAGGATCAGGCCCAGATATTTCATCTGGGCCCGAACCGGTACGAGGACCGAGTTGACCACGATTGAGGCGCCAGGGGGTGGACCACGACGGGGCCCATAAAATAACAGGGCCTCCGTCTTATCTAGGGCCACCCGTAAGCCCAGCGCCTCAATGCGCCCGACCACCAGGGAGACTCCCCCTGTGGCCAGGCGCGCCGCCTCTTGGAAGTTTGCCCCCCGGGCTGTCACGAGGGTATCGTCTGCGTAACAGATTACACCCAGCCCGGGGGGGAAATCGGCGCGAAGGGCCCAGTCGTACCCTATGTTCCACAAGAGGGGTCCAAGAACAGACCCCTGTGGAACACCGCACGACATGGGCCGACACCTCAGATAACCTTCTCGGTCCTCGTACACGACGGTACGCTCCTCTAAATAGTCTGCCACCAGCCGCCTCAGGTACTTTGGCACCCCATGATAGTGGAGTGCTTCCCTGATGCAGCTGAATGGCAGACTATTGAATGCGTTGGCGATGTCTAATGACACCGCCAACAGCACGCCGCCACAGCTCACGGCCTCTTCGGTCACGGCCCTCAGGCGCAACACGGCGTCGACTGTCGAACGCCCCGCCCGAAAACCAAATTGGGCGTCCGACAGATCGGGGCCCACCTCGCAGAGGTGCCGGACGATGCGGGCAGAAAGAACCCTCTCAAACAATTTGCCCGCCTCGTCCAGCAGCACGATGGGCCTATAGGCCGCGACCGAATCGGCAGGCCGTCCCGGCTTCCTCAATAGGACCAGCTTCCCGCTCTTCCAGCACTCAGGGAAGCGTCCCGACGCCAAGCTAGCGTCGAACACCTCCCCGAGGCGGTCTGCCATGTGGTTGAGGGCCAGGGCCAGCACTCGGGCCGGTACCCCGTCTGGCCCAGGGGCGGTGTTCTTGGAACGGATCCGTAGAACAGCCGCCCCTACCTCCGAATCCCGGACGGGCGGAACATTGTCCTCCCCGTGCTCCCCGTCGTCTCCGGCCAGGGAGGCCATCGACGGGGGAGTGTGTTCCGCTCGTTGTGGGAAAAGGCCCTCAACCACTTCTCGCAGGAAGCTGGGCTGGAGAGTCTCCGTAAGGGGGGGGCCCGACGCGCGGAGCTTTTGTCGCACCGCGCGGTAAGGGCGACCCCAGGGGTCACGATTAAGACCCTCCAGCATCTCCTGTCTCTTTTCCTCTTTGGCGCGGCTAATGGCCAGCTTCAGAGTTTTCCGCGCCCGTCGGTACTCCTCATGAAGCCGGTCCTCCTCACCGTCTCCACGGTGACGCCGCCGACTGCGCGTGTAGGACCTCCGGGCACGTGTACAGGCCGCACGGAGGTCCGCCAGCTCCTGGGACCACCAGTAGACCTCCTTCCTTGGAGGCCGACGACCTCGAACGCGGGGCATGGCCGCATCGCATACATGCGTAATCGCATCGCGAAAGCGGCCAGCCCCCACGTCGACCTCCTCGGTCGGAGCCTGAGGAGACAGCCACGAGTGAATTATGGCTGCCTCCTCTAGTAGGTCCCGGTTCAGCCTGGCAACAGCCCACCGCGGAAAGCGGGATAAACGCCGCGCCACGTGACCCCTACTGGAGTCCTGGGTCCGGGAGAGCTCAAATCGGATATACAGGTGATCCGAGAGCGTCTCAACCTCTTCCAGGACACGCCAGTTCCTTACTCGTGCGGCGAGGGCAGGGGTAGCGAACGAGAGGTCCACTATCGACCCCCCCTGCTGTCGCACGCACGTGTTGGTGGAGCCTCTGTTTAGAAGACAGAGGCCCACCGAGGCCGCCCACTCCTCTACGGCCTCGCCCCTGGCGTCCGTCCTGGGGGAACCCCACGCAATGGACTTTGCGTTGAAGTCCCCCAGCACAAGGACGTGCCCAGACGCTAGTCGCCGTATCGAGGTCTCCAAGCTGGTTAGGAAAACCTCGAAGTCGTTCAAACTCCGGTTGGGGGAGAAATAGACACCATATATGGTGATCCCCCCCCACTCGACGGCAACAAATCCAGTGCCCTTGTCTCTTAGCGACAAGGGCGGGGAATGAGCCGTCGTGGAACCGACGACTGCCACGGAGCCGTCCCAGTCACCCATCCAGTTTGGACGGGGAGGGACAGAATAGGGCTCCGCGA